CTAATCTTTACTAATCATTACTATTAGTAATCATTAATATTACTAATCATTTACTAACCATTACTATTACTATTACTAATCATTGCTATTACTAATCATTACTATTACTAAGCATTACTATTATTAATCAATCCTATTACTAATCATTACTATTACTAATCATTATTATTATTAATCATTACTATTAATAATCTTTACTAATCATTACTATTAGTAATCATTAATATTACTAATCATTACTAATCATTACTATTACTATTAGAAATCATTGCTATTACTAATTATTACTAATCATTACTATTACTAATTATTACTATTACTAATCTTTGCTAATTATTACTAATCATTACTATTAGTAATCATTTATATTACTAATCATTGCTATTACTACTACTAATCATTGCTATTACTAATAATTACTAATCATTACTATTACTAATCATTACTAATCATTATCATTACACCCAAAACCAGAGGACTATTTCAAATTTCATTCCACTGAGAGAAAAGATTTTTAGTTTCGGTTTGGGTTGTGGTAGTTCACAGTTGTAATCAGCTTAAGATATTCCAAGCAAAACATTGAGATTAGGAGCAGAATTAAATTGGCTCAAAAGATTAATCCTCTTCATCTTGATATAATTTTTTTTCTTTTCTATGGTTTTATTACAATTAATATATAATTTGGTGGATCATTGGATGTATTACTTTTACTGAAATAAAAACCTGTTTGGAACAAAAATACTACATGAAACAGAATAAACACGACTAACTTTTTTAAAACTTATTTTATTGTTTAGAAATAAAGTGACGATTGTTATGTTAACGTATTTTGACCTAAACATAATTTTTGATGGTTATTGAAGTAGAAAAGTACAAATAGAAAAAAATTGACTTTTAAAAATCTGCAGTTTAGCAGTCGGGTTAACATTTTTTACACTTTATTTGAAATATCTCAAAATACCAGATTAAATTTAATTATGACATTAAACTTACATAACAACTGTAATGACAAAAGTATGCAGGTGTAGGCTTTAAGAAAGCTTTATTCAACTGAGAATACAAGGCTCGTGTATAGTGTCCTTTTATAGTCCCAGTAAACAGAAATAGCTCTCCCAAGGAGGAGAGTAAAGAAATAAGAGGAGACTACTCTTGATTATTCATAAGAACAACATTCTTAATAAATGATTTTTCATGAATTTTGTAGTTTAAAATATCACGTTTGCTCCTAGTTGATGTTTACTAGCAGTAAACTAAACTATAAAATTCAACTGCTTATTTAAAAAATACCTTAAAGAAAGAAAAATATAAATTACTCATAAAAAATTATTTTTAAAACATTAATATATCTGTTGTTATGAATAACAATATTATAGAAGAGAAAAAATACACAATTTATGTAACAAATAATAGCATTTTTAAATAGATTTTGCAGTGTTAAACAGAATCAAAGGAAAAAGACTTTGGAAAAAAAAGTCTGTTAAAAATTGAATATGTTGGGATTTTCCCTGGTCGCATGTGTGTTGTGCTTGGCAGTATGTGTGGAATGGACGAAAAAACGACCCCTCCTCAACGTGGCAGGGCGGTGGCAACTTGGTAGCGCCAGGGCTATACTGTTGGGAACTTCAGTTCCTGGTAGGGCCATCCAAGGTAGATTGGTCTGGCACCCAGCAGTATTAGGGCCGCACCCAGCTAAAGGGGCTCTGGTGAAAATCCAGGTGGTGTCTGTTCCGGCAACTGGTGGCCTCGGGTCGCTCTGTGAATGCATCTGTGGAAAATCTGCGGCAAACAGGGTGTTTTTTCCCCTTTCCCTCGGGTAGGACTTGGGACCCTTCCCTTAATCAAATCCCAATGAATCTTCCTTTATGAGCAATACAACTATGATGCTGTACTTGCTCAGGAGGAAGCTGGTTCAACCCGACCAGGGAGAAAACCAATACAAGTCAAAGTTAAGTCAAAAGCTTGAAAATAATTGTTCAACAGCTTTTTTTTTTAATTTCTGGTTGAAAAAGTATTGCAAAATAGTAATAATTTGTAGGGGAACAAAAGGAGTTTTCCCAGTTAACAATGTTCTTGATTATAGTAATTGCTTTTATTGAGAGAGATTTCTCTGCTAGTTGCCACAGGAGGAATGAAAAATCCAAGTGTGAAACTTTTAAGACCAGGCCTTGTCTTTTGCAGCAACGTTTGAGTTTAGTTTCCTTTGGTGGGTGTTTTTAAAAATCACTATAATAACAGAATGTAGATTTAATTGCAGTTACAATGTCAGGTTTGTCTTTGTAATTTGCCTCTGAAGATGATCTTAGAAATGGTTGAAACTTTTTTTGGTGCCATCCTTGATGAATTTCACCTCAACATCAAGTAACTGATCAGACAACTGGAAAGGATCAGTATAAAAATAAGTAGACATATTATTCAATGAAACATGTTTGAATGAAGATATGCTGCCTATATATATATATATATATATATATATATATATATATATTCTTAACATCAAGAAACTTAGACAATTGGAAAGGATCAATATAAAAATAAGTAGCCATAAGATGTCTATATTATTTAATGAAACATGTTTGAATGAAGATATATGCTGCCTATATATATATATATATATATATATATATATATATATATATATATATATATATATATATATATATATATTCTTAACATCAAGAAACTTAGACAATTGGAAAGGATCAATATAAAATAAGTAGGCATAAGATGTCTATATTATTCAATGAAACATGTTTGAATGAAGATATTCTGCCTAAATATATATATATATATATATATATATATATATATAGGAAAAATAAAAAAAGAAAGTTATTCCAATATTCGCTTGAAGATGAAACGGAGCTAATGCTTTTAATTTAATTATATAATTAGATTTAAAGTTTTAAACATATTTTAAATCAGTTAATTTATAATATTTATGCTCTGTAAATTTACATTGAGCACTGTTTTGTAAAAATAAAAATATCAATAAGAACACCAGATTATATATCTTACTGTCCTTTCTTTATATATATATATATATATATATATATATATATATATATATTAACATCAATAAACTTATTAGACAATTGGAAAGGATCAATATAAAAATAAGTAAACATAATATGTCTATATTATTCAATGAAACATGTTTAAATGAAGATCCACTGCCTATATATATATATATATTTATATATATATATATATATATATATATATATATATATATATATATATATATATAAATATTCTTAACATCAAGAAGCTTAGACAATTGGAAAGGATCAATCCAAAAAGGAATAGACATAATATGTCTATATTATTCAATGAAACATTTTTGAATGTTCTGCCTATATATATATATATATATATATTCTTAACATCAAGAAACTTTTTAGACAACTGGAAAGAATCAATATAAAAATAAGTAGACATAATTTAACTATATTATTCAATGAAACATATTTGAATAGACATATATACATTTTCTAATGCATTTAACCAACATTTAATGCCATTTTGCATTTCTACCAATTCTAATTAGCTCCCTTACATTGGGACGCTTGTTTTACATAACACCATATTATTCAATGAAACATATTTGAGTAGACATATATACATTTTCTAGTGCATTTAACCAACATTTAATGCCATTTTGCATTTCTACCAATTCTAATTAGCTCCCTTACATTGGGACGCTTGTTTTATAACACCATATTATTCAATGAAACATATTTGAATAGACATATATACATTTTCTAGTGCATTTAACCAACATTTAATGCCATTTTGCATTTCTACCAATTCTAATTAGCTCCCTTACATTGGGACGCTTGTTTTACATAACACCATATTATTCAATGAAACATATTTGAATAGACATATATACATTTTCTAGTGCATTTAACCAACATTTAATGCCATTTTGCATTTCTACCAATTCTAGTTAGCTCCCTTACATTGGGACGCTTGTTTTACAAAACACCATAGCTACAATGGATAAAATTAAAATTATAAAATAACTATAACAGAGTTTACACATGTTTTCAAAATCAGCATCACAACGATCACAGTTATGATAGGTTTGTTTTTTAAATTACCCCTGAAAATGATCTCGCAGGAGATTGAAAGTAATTGGGTAGGAAAAATCAGCAGTGCCTTCCTTAATTAATTTCATCTTAACATCAAGAAACTGATTAGAGAACTAGAAAGGATTATCATAAAATAAATAGATATAATATATCTCTATTATTCAATGAAAAATATATATATATATATATATATATATATATATATATATATATATATATATATATATATATATATATATACATTTAAACGGAATGCTGATCTTATAAAAGATTACAGTTATCTGTTTGGATTGGTATTGCTTTTATGTCCATCGTCTTTTCATGTTGAATTATATATGGTCTATGTTAATTATGTTTTATGAATATGTCCTGAAGATGGTCTATTAGACCGAAACATCCGACGTTGACATTAAACATTAAAACAAGCGTAATTGCATATTAGGATTTTTGTTTGTTTTTTCAGTATATTTTTCTTCATACTGTCGGATCTATATCCATATATTGCTTTACATATATATATATATATATATATATATATATATATATATATATATATTCCAAAAATATATATATATATATATATATATATATATATAGATTCCAAAATTCACTTGAAAAAAAAACAGATCTAACGCTTTTTAATTTATTTATATAATTAAATTTGAAGTTTTTAGTTTTGGTTTTTGAAACATGGTAATTCCTGTGTAGCGAAGAAACCATATTTTAAATCAGTTAATTTATAATATTTATGCTCTGTAAATTTACATTGAGCACTGTTTTGTAAAATAAAAATATCAATAAGAACACCGGATTATATATTTTACAGTTCTTTCTTTTATTATAATATATATATATATATATATATATATATATATATATATATATATATATATATATGTAAGTTACATTAGGTGATGAATCTGTCAGAGAGAGAGAGTGTGAGAGAAAGGGAGACAGACAGAAAGAGTGAGAGTATAAAGAGAGAGAGAGAGAGAGAGAGAGAGAGAGAGAGAGAGAGAGATGGATGAAGACAAGGAAGAGATAGAGAGAAATCAGTCTTGTAGCATTAAGTACCCCCAAAACCAAGCTAGTAATGTTTCATCATAATTGAGCAGGGGGTGAATTTTCTTGTACTGTCAAGAAGTCTTCCAGTTTGGTCATCTTTTGAAACTCAGATTCACTTCAGACCTCAAACGGAACTCATATAAAAGAGGCTGTGCATAAACTGTTGTCAAAAATACACAAAAAATGAAAATAACACTGACATCTCATTTTAACCGATTTATTTACCTAAATTACACAAAAGTATCCTGAAATACTAAAGATTAAATTTATTCAATAAAATTGCCATTGGATTCTAACACAACCTCCAGTCGGCTTTGGAATCTCCTTCAATTTTTCTGGATGGTCTCCTTGTTTAAATCAGTGAATGTTGCCATAATACTTTCCTTCAGTTCTTCTTTTGTGTTACAAAGAGTTTCATTGGTCTCTCACTCAATTGTGCCCCACACAAGGGGGCTGCAGTCTGGAGAGTTAGGTAGCCAGATGTAAGGGGTAATATAGTTGCAGAAATTGTCTGTGAGCTATGACTGGTTTTTCCTGCGTGTGTGGCATGGTGCAGAGTCCTGTTGCCAGACATAGGGTCTTCCAGCAGCCACCCTCTTGACCCATGGTAGCACTATCGCCTCAGGGCACTTGATGTAGGCCTCCATATTGAGTCTGAGGCCCTGTGGGAAGATGAATGAAGGCATGTCTCCATCACGAGTGATCACTGCAAACATCTTCATAATCACCATTAGACTCATCCAAATCATTCCAAATCCTCTGTACTGTCCACAGATTGTCATCCAAACACTTTGAAATGTTCATAGTGAAGCCTCTGACATGAATGCCAAGGAGTACAGCATTCAGTTTCTAAATTTCTGGCAGAGCGAATTGCGTCATGGTGCTCTTTCTCAAACAGAGGGTGCCCAACTGACCCTACCATACCGTGCAGTTGACAAAATCAAAGACAAACAATGTGCATGTGCAAAATTTAAAAAATAAAATGGCGGCAATTTACCCATCGCTCCTTGTATAATAAAAATCTATGGATACTTGTGGGTGTATTCACTCACACCATAGGAGTAGTGGTAGTAGAATTTTAGGTTTGTTTTTACAAAGATAAAAACAGAAATAATAAATATATCCAATACAGAGAAGGCATGACAAATTGTCTGGTAATTTCATACAATTTTATTTCTGCATTTGTGTGTGTATTTTGATAATGTTCATGTTATAAAAGGGAGTAAATTACATTAAATATATAATGATATAATAATATAAATAAATAAAAGTTCAGAGTTTAGGCTGAGACATTAGAAGTATAGATTAGAATTTAGAAGGAACCAGAAAACCAATCCTAAACAGGAAACAGGATAAACCTCTACACATGTTCAAAAGACCAAGGAGGGGTGTGAACTGGATTTTATTACATCCACGTGCTACAAAGAATTTATCAAGTTACTGGATACCGAAACAAGACATCCATATGCGACCTGCTATGGTCTCAGTGATAGAAAACATTACATTTCTAGATATACTTGCAGAAATAGCTGACAAGAGTATGGAGACAACGATACTCCCACCTCCTCCAAAAATAGCAAAATAATTTGGGATCAGCGTAAAAAGTCACATATTAAGAGAATTCGCCCCCCCCCCCAATTTCAACAATAAAATTTAAACAGTGGGGATGTAATAAACCAATCACATGACTCCAAACAAAAGATTTTTTTATTGCAAATGAAAACAATTAGAGAATTTCCACCACCACCCAAACTTCTTTTTGATGTATCTTGTGGGATACAGATTTATTTATTTATTCACACCGTAGGAGTAGTGGTAGTAGAATTTTTGGCTTGTTTTTACGAAAATAAAAACAAGAAAAATAAATACAGAGAAGGCATTACAAATTGTATGGTAATTTCATACAATTTTATTTATGTATCTGTGTGTATATTTTACATTACAATTGTGATAATTTTCATGATATAAAAGGGAGTAAATTACGCCGTAATATCACAAGTCCTATCGTGATAGGAAGTTACACTCGGGTTGTCATCCTGACTGTCCTTGGATGAAGAGATTGAATCTGACATCTCTTGGAGGGATGTCCGTATTTCTGGCAGTAACAGTTTTTGTTGCATGCTGGGAGTAATTTTATTATTTTTATTTTTTATCTTAAACAAGGTTTAAATATTATTGTTTTGTTTTATTTTATTTTTAATTTTAATTATTATTATTAATTTATTTATTTGTAACAATAATAACATCCCTACAATACAAACTGATCAAAATGTGAATTTTCAGATTTCAGGACAAGTGTATGACGATACAAAGACTAAATTTTGTCAGAATTTATATCTCTATCTATAAAAGGCAAGATGTCTGTGTGTGTGTAACAAATGCATGGCCGCAATTTTCGACAGATTTGCACCAAAATTTACATGCACATGCTCCAAGTTAGTGGAAAGGCCAAGACTGACTTTACATTTCCCAACTCCCATCGATAGTGGAAATAATCGATTTTTTCATGCTTCTACGGCAATTTTCATGTAGTTTGTGGCCATTTTGTACTGGCCAGAGTGAGAGCCTATAGCTGGCTGCCACAAATAGGCAGGAAGATTCTATTGGCCAGTGTGAGAGCCAACTGCTGACTGACACGAATGTTAACTAGCATGCTAGCATGCAAAAAAATCGATAGTTGCATTCGTCACGAGTGGGAAAAATTTAAATCTGCATGGCACTTTACTCCAATTGGCTCATTCGCTTGCTTAAACTCAACGTTGATTCTGATTCCGCAGAACTGGGTTGGGTGTGAAAAAGTATTTGTTGTTAACATTCTTTTTTCATTCGGTTTTTCCAGTTGACACTAAATCCTAACAAAAAAAGAGAGAGAGAAAAATAAAAAAAAAGGAAGTCTATTCAAACCTGATCGTTTTGTGTTCATTTTGTTTAATTCTTTTTTCGTAACAGATTTAATGTTTAGTATAGAGCTTAGAAAAAATTTGCAGTGTGAGATACGTAAGAAGTAAGGCATGTAGCAACATCAGCACGGCAAAGGGCACTCCTTTAAAGGCAAGGAAGGGCAAAAATATTTTAAGTCAAGTGATAGCGATTGCTGTAAGAGTCGTACGATTTTTGAATCAAGCATGGGCAACGCCGGGCCATGCTGCTAGTCATGAATAAACTAGCTAGAATAATGAATAAAAACAGCATAGGATTATATAGAAATGATATTAAGGTATTTGATGAAGGCCCCCATGTTGAGTCTGAGGCCCTGTGGGAAGATGAATGAAGGCATGTCATCATCACGAATGATCACTGCAAACACCTTCATAATCACCATTAGACTCATCCAAATCATTCCAAATCCTCTGTACTATCCACAGATTGTCATCCAAACACTTTGAAATGTTCATACTGGAGCTTCTGGCATGAATGCCAAGCAGTACAGCATGCGGTTACCAAATTTCTGGCAGAGTGAATTACGTCATGGTGCACTTTTTCTCACAGATGCTGCCCAACTGACAAAATGTGCAGTCAACAAAATCATAAACAAATAACATGCATGCATGAAATTAAAAATATAAAATGGTGACAATTTATCTATCGCACCCAGTATAATAAAAATCTATGGATACAAGCAGATGAAAATGTGATTTTTGAGATTTCAGACAAGTGTATGACGATACAAAGACTTTAAATTTTGTTGGAATTTATATCATGAATATACTAGCTAGAATAATGAATAAAAACAGCATAGGATTATATTGAAATGATATTAAGAAAATGTTAGTTTTCTTTTTACATAAGGCCAACGGTGACTTTTACTGGTTATGGTAACGGTTGGTTTGTTGTTTTTGTTTAGTGGCATATCAACATCTCTATGGGTTATTTAATGCTGAAATCTAAATATGAAAATTTAAATCTGTCTCTTTCCTAATCTTTATTGCCATATTCACAATGTTTTGGCCATTTTATGCTCTGGACTTCTTCAGGGGATATATGTTGGGATTTCAACAGGAATAGATTGTTCTAGATCCATATGTCATGCCTTTTCTAGATATCTCAGTTTTCAGTTATTTCCCTTTAATAACTCAACTCTCCAAGTCCTTTTGTTCATCTCTGCTATGGTCAGGTATTGAACTCATAACTCTTTGGGTGAAGTCATTGGATTACTTCAACCAATGCTTTTATTCACTGGGCTATGTGCCCTAGGGGAGTATTGGTTGGTATGTGCATGTGTGTATGTGTGTATGTGTATGTTCACATGTATTGTATTTGGTAGGTACCTACACAGAAAAGTGATACATAAGGTTTAAAATGAAATTTAAAAAATGAAAAATCTTTCTTGAAACTTTTATTTTAGTTTTAATTTCAAGTTAATAGATTAAATTTAATATTTCCAATAAACAAAATACTTTGCTGTATTTCAAAACATATTTAAATTGATTGAATTTTTTTATCGCTAAAAATGGCTGATTTTAGCCATATTTACAAATTTGTCAGCACAATGTAATTATCTTTATTTAATATTCTTTAGAAAATAAAATATACTTTTCTGAGACTTATGCCTGTTTTTTTTTCTATGGGGGACATAGCTATATGTGAAACTTGGTGAATATAATATGAATGCCTTTCTTATATAATTTTTTTATTACCCAACAATCTTCAAATTTAGGAAAATATTCTATGTAATCTATTTATTCTACATAATCTAATGCTTTATTTAATTTTATATACTTTGGATTAAATTTACTATAGTTATTGTTCTGATAATGTCATGTATGGATCTTTGAATTTACAAAAATCACCATGTTTATATATATACATAAAAAATTATTTTTTAAATAGTGGGGCTCACTGAATTGTAGTAAGCTTTTCCATTTATGATGAGTAAATATAGTTTTTACTTTGTCGGAGTTACCTCCTCCTTCACTGAGGTCTCTTTCCTGGCTATAAATATACCCTTCCTTCGATCTCTCTTTTACTTTTTGCACAACGCACCGAGGTAAATTTCTCTTCTTCCAGGATTTTATCAACCTCAAAAATGTTTAACAAAAAATAGCGTGAAATCAAAGCCGCTCGTTAACACGGAATATTCCACATTTTTGTTTTACTGTTTTCTTGTATTGTAACTTGTTATGAATATATATTTGTTGTGTATACATATATTCGGTCTTGTTTTTGTTTGCTTTTCCTTCTTCTTTGGACTTAACCAAGTCCAACCTTTTTATGTAGTTCTAGCAGGAGAATCTTTACCTTTTCACGTCTGTCTTCTCTTGTAACAGCCCACGGCCCATCTACAAATGGTGACCTGGACGTGATTTTTCCACTCCTGCTAAAAAACACACAAGACTTTATATATTTACAAAAACAAACAATTTCTATCACACCTTCCCAAAAAGAGCCAGATCAAAAAAAAATTGAGAAAAACTCTTTCCTACTATCAACGAAAGAACACCAATTACTAATTGAAGACGCTTTAAACTCTTTACCCACTGGTCTATATTTCATTGACCCTTTCTTTTTCTCGGCGACGTTTAACCCTTAAATATTCCCAAATGGAAAACAACTTTTTTCCACTGTTTTTTCTGGACTGAAATAGAAAAAGTGTGTGAACCAAAACCACTGGACGACTCACTGTTCCATTTACAGATTGGTGATTCCAAACCATTTCTCACTGTCTCAATTTTAAACAACATTCGTGATTCCCGACATGAAAGCAACGCTTTTCACACCAATAATCGCCACTGCTTGCTTCTCATTCTTCGAAAACACGTGGACATTCTAGTCAACACAACTTCAACTGACTACACATCCCTCAAAACAAAGCTAAACCAATATATTTCAAATGTCAATGCAGTCCTTTTAAGGCATTCGTCCTTCATCTCATTCTGCAAACCGACTCAAACAAACCGAGATTTTGCCAGAATGATATCGACAATACCAGCAAATTCTCTCAAACATGCATTCGACGGTCTTGTCTATTAACTTTTGTGCGTAATTATTTTTTAACCACCTCGTTTTTTCAACCCCAGCAGACAGGTGCATAGATCAACAACCAATTCACTGGAAAAAAGACAAATTTTCAACCCTGACCACTCGACGTTTTGAATGCCCAATTTTGTTGAAATATAACACTGCACCCTGAGACAACACCATTTAGAATCTTTACTAGAACAATTTTGTTTTCTTTTTTTTTACAACCTTTAATCTGGTCTTTTACCTCCTCCTTCAGTTTTAACCCCTTTCACCTGTAGAGGTCTCTTTCCTGGCTATAAATTTGACCCTTCGCGTTCGATCTCTTTTTTACTTTTCAGGCATGTGCACCTTCGAGGTAAATTCTCTTCTTCCTAGAGGATTTCAACTATCAACCTCAAAATGTAGTCCCTAATAAGAAATAACATAAAAGCCGCTAAGCACAACACACACGCCTACGCACACGGCCCACTTTGTCCTTTTGTACTGTTTTCTTGTATTGTAACTTGTTATGAATATATATTTGTTGTGTATACATATAT